GAGTTGGCTGTGATTAGTTGGCCATGGCAAGTTGTCCTGCAGCGAGTTGCCCATGGCAAATTCCCAGGCTTCCTCCCTTGTCCTGCCAAGGCATCTTGGCCGCCAACTCTGCCTCCCCATGGCCAGATTGCCCAAAGGTGAAGAGCCATCGCCTTTCTCTGTCCCGATTCTCTCTGCATGAGACAGAGAGGGAGACTTCTAAGAATACCGCCATTAATAAAAGCCATGTCAGGACTCCTGCCTCGGCAGCAAGGCTCCGTGAGTCATGGCGAGTGTGAGAAATCGGAAAGCAGGTGGGGAGTTGTGAATCAGAGAAAAAAATACAGTCGTGGGCTGGCAGCAACATCTCCGGGGCATTTGCCAGCTTCTGAGCTGTGATTCACTCCAGCGTGGGTCAAACGGGCATTTGAGCTGAGAATAAAAGGGAAACACACAGGCGGCCCCCTCCTTCTTGGCAAATCTTGCCCCGCCAAGCGAAACTCCTTAAAGGTTGATGCAATTTTCCAATATTTAAGGGGCTGCCACAAATGAGAGGGGCTCAACCTATTCTCCCAAGCAGGATAAGAAGCGACAGATGGAAACTTATCAAGCAGAGAAGCAATCTAGAACTAAGGAGGAATTTCCTGACTGTGAGAACAATTAATCAGTGGAACAGTTTGCCACTAGAAGTTGTGGGTGCTCCATCAATCCCTTTCAAGAAGATATTGGACAACTGTTTTCCTACATGGTGTAGTAGGCTGTAGGTTGGGCTGGAAGACTTCCAATGTCTCTTCCAACTCTAATTCTGTTATTCTAAACTAGTACGATACCCATGCTTCGCTACAAAACTATGGGATGGGGCTTAGTTTTTGGGGAGGAAAATAAGAGGGGGAAAATTGTGCCTCTGCCTACCAGCATCCATCAGGATTCATCTGCCTAGCGTCCTGTCAGAGTGTGAGAGAGTTGAGGGCTGCTTGGAAAGTGAAACGGTATTTGCTGTGTGAGCAAGAAGGAGACAGCAAGGAGCCTGGGCGTGGCTTTGCTCAACTGTTCTGTACTAAAGCTGGTTGCTGCTGTGAAACTAAAACTGAAACTGAAACTCCTCTCCTCTGCTTGTGTTTTGCATTGGGAAGATGTTTCTTTTCAGGTGGGCAGAGGGAGTAGAACTCCTTAGCATCAGAGCGTGTTAATAATAATAATAATAATAATAATAATAATAATAATAATAATAATAATAATAATAATAATAATAATAATAAATAATAATAATATAGGAAATACTAATGTTTTGATGGTCATTTCAAAAAATTATTTCTTAGTGAACCCCTAGAAGCCAAGAGGAACATAGGTGCCAAATTGCAAGTTTGTAGGCTTTACAGTTCTGGAGATTTTGTGATGATGCACAAGTGGTATTTCGCTTTTTTATATCATTTTTGGCCACTGCACAGAAGTGGTTTGTCTCTCTATCAGCTCCTGGGATTTGAGCGACCTTTCAATCCAGCCAAAATCTTAAGATTTCCCACTGGCCACCCATCCAAATACTAAGCAGGGCTGGTCTTGCTTAACTGAGGTCTGCCCTTGGTGTTTTCAAAGTTTATTTTTGGCCCAATTGTATGCTAAACCTGTAAATCCAGATTTAGATTTTTTTCTCCACTCTTCATCGACAAAGGATCTCTTGAATCAGTTGCCTATTCTACCCTGTTAAGATTTCTTATCAGATAAATTACCTGTGTGCATGTTATCATTCAATTTTTTTTTTTTAAAAAAAAGATTCAGTACAGTGTCTATGTTTCCTCTTGAAATTTGGCAGCACAAAACAATTTAATGTTGTAAAATTATTTGCTCTAAGTCTGATTTTCTTTAATGTTTTGCATTTGCCAAGGCAATGAAGGAGATTAATCCACATTTTGGAAAATATCTCCCTTTGATACAAAATTAAAAAGCACAACACCTCACTCGCATACGGTGCCTGATAATAGCAAGCTGCATGTTCCTTGTTTGGTTCTGCTTTAACCTGCAGAGGATTGGTGTTATATTCTGGCAAAAATTATTCTCTGGCTGTTGTTCATGCAACAATTCTTACTTTTTATGTGAAGCACAATTGTTTGTGCCATCTGGTTTGCGATTTGAGGAGGATCCACCAGGGGGCAGAGCTTCCAAATGGATGTCAGGTTTGAGTTGTGTGTTTTAGTTGTTTGGTTGTTGTTGTTTCTTTTTTTTGCAAAGTGCTGCTGAAATTTGGATTTTATTCAAAATCTGGGGTTGTGCACCTGCTCCCAAGGAAAAATGAAATAAAATAAAGAACAGAAGAATGAGACTTATACTTCCTGAAGCTGATGTGTTGAAAGTTGCAACTCTTGAAACAAAACCACATATTTATTTTTCCTTATTTTTCCTCCCAAGGACTTTTTTTCTGGCTTCTGGAATATTGAAACATGTCAAGTCTTAGTTCATTCTAAGCCTTAGCTTTCCTGATTTGTCCACACAGATCCGGGCTATTTGTCGATATTATTTTAAACGTATAGTGAATGTAATGGATGAATATAGAGACCCAGTACATTAACCTCTCTTTCCATTGTTATATTTATCCTTTTTTTCCTCTCAGTTTGTTAGATACTTCTTCATTCAACCATGCTGGTTTTATCTGGGGTCTCTTGTTTTTCTTTCTCTGTGATATTGTGTTAGATTGTGCATAAATGCACGTTATTTTTTAAAAAAAATCTCATTTTTTTCGGATCGCATATACGATCCTGTTCATTCAGATGCTGATTTCCAGCCCATAACGAATTCTCAAAGTAACAGACAAAAATGAAGTGAAGGGTCTAAAAAGGAAATTAGAAGAATTGCAAAAAGCACATTAAAATCTCTTTGTCTGTGAGAGCGGCTTAAAAGCCAGGCCAGGAAGGCAAAAACAGCAGAAAAGCAATTTACTCACACACACACACAGAGAGAGAGAGGAAAGCAGACCAGATCAAACCCTTGGGAAAAACAAACTAACCACAAAAGTGATATTTGCCAGGCAAGACGTCTCCATTTCACCCATCACCCATCATAAATCAGAATATAGCACCATTTTATGGATGCAAATGGTTGGAAATGCTTCAGGAACCGTCTTCTAAAAATATCTTTTTCTCCCCTAATTAGTTTCACTCTATTCCCTATTCTGTATGTCTGTTTTTTGGGGGGGGGGGGGGGAGGGAGATAAATAAGGTGCTTTGAACTTATGCAACAATTAATGATTACAAGCCATCGTGTTGTGTCATTGGTTCTTAATGACCACAAACATAAAACTCTCACCATGATGCTCAGTCCCACACCTGCTACTTCAGATCTTGCTATGGAGGTAGAGGTTCTCTCCTGCTTGAGGGGGTGGGTGGGTGGGCTGGACTAGAAGACCTCCAAGGTCCCTCCCAACCCATTCTATTGTATTCTATCTTCCAACGGAGCCCGATTTGCACCTGACCCATCTTTTTGGGGTGATTTTTATTTGTGTGCGCGCACGGGTGCATGCTACCATACAACGCGTGTTTTGGGAATTGAGGATGCCCAAGGGGTCAGCGGAGGGTCCCCGGGATAGAGGAGGCCGCTCCGCATCCACTTGTGGATCCCGACGGGCAGCTGCGCGAGAAGCCGAAGCCGCGGCTGCCAACTTGCGCCTTTTCCTCTCGCCTCTCTTAATTTTGCATCACCAGCTGCGCTTTGGCCGGGGAAGGGAAGGGAGGGGAGGCTTGTCTTGTCACTCTGCGGGGCCAGCCGCTCTGCTCTGTTGTGCTCAAGTTTCCGTCTCCGCCAGGCATCCCGCGCCTTGAGGACTAGAACCTTGCTTTCCCCAGAGGGCAAAGGCTCGGGGAAAAGGCGAGCTTTTCCTTTTGCTGCTGTTACTGTTGCTGCGGGCGACTCAGTCAACTGTCCCACCTCCTCCTTCCTCCTCCTCCTCCTCCTCCTCTTCCCTCCCCCCTTCCTTCTCCTCCTCCTTGCTCCCCCTTCCTCCTCCTCCCTCTTCCTCCATCCCCGAGCCGGCGGCGGCGGCGGCGGCGAGGCCGAGCGGGGCTGCGGTGCCTTTAAGTCCGCACCGGCGGGTGACGCCACCACCGCCCGGGACAGGGAGCCTCGGCGCCGGCCACAGCAGCGCGAGCGGCCCCAGCACCCCCGCCGCGATGGAGCCGCCGCCGCCGCCGCCGCCGCCGCGCCGGAGCGCCGCCGGGAGGAGCAGGCAGGCGCTGCCCAGGGGCCGAGCGGGAGAGCCGGCCGGCTGGCGCAAGGTGAGTCCGCAGGTAAGCCGGGCGAGGGATGCGGGCGTTGCAGGTGAGCGAGGGAAGCGGGCGGGCGGCAGTAAGAGCCCACCGGCGGGGGTCTTTCTCCCCCCACCCCACCCCACGACTCGGCCCGCCGTGCACGGCCGAGAGCGAGAGAGAGCGCGCGCATCCCGGGCGCACGTGTAGGCGGCGGGCTGGAGAGGGACGCGAGCGCGCGTGGCTTGCTCCTCTCCCCATCCCTGTGGGAGTCCTTGCGCTCCTTGCGGGCCCGAGAAGACCCCCCCTCCCCGGGACGGAGCCCCTTCCACGGGACAGAAGAAGAAACCCCCCCCTTCTCCACGGGCGGGTTTCCTTTGCGCCCACCCACCCCCACGCCGCGCGTGGACTCTGACCGGGCTGTCGTGGGGTTGGAGGCGGGAGGGGGGGACGCGTTGGCCCGGAATTCGGGGCTTCCTTGCACCCCTCCCTCCCTGCCCCCCCTCCCTTTTGCACAGTACTCGGGAAGGAAGGAAAACCACGCGCGCGCACCCACGCAAACCCACACAGGCGCCCGCGTTTCCTATCCTTTGCAATCGCTGCCCTCCTTGGATGGGGGGTGGGGGTGGGGGAGCTGGGAGAGACCCCCCCGGGATGTGGGATCTCTCTGGGGTGTAAAAACCAGCAGGGAAAGGGACCCTGCCCCGAGCAGCTTCCAATCCCTCCATCCACCCCCTTCCTCCTCCTACCCCATCCGGACTAAAAGAGGGAAGGAGCCATTCCCCCCCCCTCCCCAGCCTCCTGAAGGCCATTCAGCCTGGCCATTGATGCTCCAAACTGCCCCCACCCACCACCCACTATGTCTGCCTGCCCAGGTGCCCTTCCTTCCACCCAGGTGCCCGGGGAAGGGGAGCCCTGGCGGCGTCTGCTTCGCTCAGCACCTTCCAGAGCGGGGTGGAAAGGAGAAAGGAAGGGCAACGGGGGGGGGCTGCGGGGTAGGGGGGGTGGGTAGGCTCGACTCTCCTCCACACTCTCGGGCACCATTCTGCCGAAGGGGGAAACTGAGGCAGCAGGAGGCCATGGGTGAGGAGGAGAAGAAGAAGAAGAGCGGCCTGGGAGAGAATTGGTCCTCCTAGGGATTGAGGAGGGGGGGCTGTGGAGAAAGCTCAGCCTGAGATGCCCAGGGGAAAAAAGTGGGGGACAACAGTTTGTCTCTGGGCTTGGGGACAGCGATGCGAGGGGAGAAGAGAATTGTGCAGAAAGGGAAAGCTCTGGGCCCTCGTTTGGAAGAAGACCCCCCCCCCCAAGGGTTTATTTATTTACTGGTTTTATTTTTATTTAGACAATTGATAGTGCGACCTATTTGCACAGTGCCTTGCAAAGATATGGGTGCATTTGTCTGTCCCGGGGCCTGAGATTGCGGGTGGAGGGGGGGATGGGGTGGGAATTCCTGCCCAGATCACTAACAGATGAACAGATAATCAGAGTTGGAAGGGACCTTGTAGGTCATCTAGTCCAACCCCCACCCAAACATTTCTGACAGATGGCAGTCCAGTCTCTTCTTGAAAGCCTCCAGGGATGAAGCTCCCACAACTTCTGAAGGCAACTTCTGTTCCATGGGTTGATGGTTCTCACGGTCAGAAAATACCTCCTTATTTCCAGGTTGAATCTCTCCTTGTTCAGTTTCCATCCATGGTTCCTTCTCTGGCCTTGGGGTGCTTTGGAAAATAGCTTCACTCCCTCCTCCTCTCTGGGGCAGCCCCTCAAATATTGGAAGGCTGCTATCATGCCCCATTTCCAGATGCCCCCAAAATGCCCTCCCTGGTGTCAAATTGCCAGCCGGGGAGAATCGGATCGATAACTGGGGTGGGTGAATGCCGGACAGGCTCTCCTGTTTTTCAGACAGGATGTAACATACCTGACAAAGGGAGGATATAATTTCACTCTGCTCTTGGCATCTTATTATGTGTTCAGAGTTACTTGACCCTGGCTTGGCTCGCCGCCCAGAGAAAAGACAATTTCTCCGCTTCTAAATCGCTCCAGGAAGGATTAAGGCAAGCCATTGCTCTCCTCCTCCTCCAAAGCCACGAGGGAATTTGACCTGAGACCACCTGAGCCTGGCCTTTTAAAGGGGAGGGGGGTTTGGCCTGTGGAATGGGACCACTGGGCACCGTCAATTTGCCACTGCCAACTGGCCATGGGACAACTCATTGCGGGACAATGCAAACATTCCATTTGATTATTTAAAATTCATGGAAAACATATTTTCATTTTAGAGCTGGAAGGGACCTTGGAGGTCTTCTAGTCCAACCCCCTGCTCGTGCAGGAAAGCCCATGCCATTTCAGACCAATGGCTGTCCAGTCTCTTCATAAAAACCTCCAGGGTTGAAGCGCCTACAACTTCTGGTGGCAAGCTGTTCCCCTGGTTAATTGTCCTCACTCTTATGAAGTTTCTCCTTAATTCCAGCTTGCTTCTCTCCTTGTTGAGTTTCCATTTGTTGCTTCTTATTCTGCCTTCTGGTGCTTTGGAGAATAGCTTGACTCCCTCCTTCTTTTGGGCAGCCCCTCAAATATTGGAAGACTGTTATCCTGTCTTCTCCAGTCCTTCTTTTCTCTAGACTGGTCATACCCAAATCCTGCAGCCGTTCTTCATATGTTTTACCCTCCAGGCCCTTAAATCATCCTAGTTGCTCTTCTCCTTCTGAACTTTTTTCCAAAATCCCAACATCTTTCATTTCATCCCTCCTTTTGGCATCCTTTCTTTTATGATTCTATTCCATGATTTCTTCCATATTAGTGTTAACTCTCATCCCGCAGCGAATTATCCTGGGGCGAGCTGGCTGCAGCAAATTGGCCAGGGCGAGTTATCGTAGATAACTTGTGTGAACCCCGGATTGCCTGTTTTCTGCAGGCTGTCAGGATTCCGGCAGTGACCCCCAATTAAATCATGAGTCTCGAGCCAAACTTCCAAAACTTCAAAAAGATTTATTGGGAGTTAAACTGTCTGCCAGTGCCTGGGTGTAGCTGACTCTCAGACACATCATTCATTGTCACCCTTGACCCTGGTTTCCCCACCCCACCAACCTCCTGGGTGTATCCTAATTCATATTCTCCAATGGGACACATCCGTAGCCAAGAGTCATCAACCATCTTCTCCAGTCAGAATTGTGCAAAGCAGAAACTTCAGTCACCTAGTTACTGTCTTTGCAAAACTATGTATGGAATGCACTTTCCGTTTGCAAACTGCTGCACTGCTCCCCACTCCCTTTCTGTTGGCAACTCTAAAAAGACCATAGGAATATTTTATGAGTTGACGTGGCCCTTCCCAGCCCCACCCTCTCGCTCCTGCCAGAGGCCGGTGGGGGCTTCCACCTCTCTTAAAGGGTGGCCAGAGAATGTCAGGCAGTGGCAAAGTTCCATGGCTGTTGGGATACAAGAGGGGGAGCCTCCTGCAGAGGCCTGGCCATGGCGCCATGGCCAAGGACTCCTCGGACGAACACCTGGAGGTGGCCCAGATCCTGAGGGTCCAGGTATTGCCCATGGCTGACCGGCGCTGGTGCCCATTAAACTTTGGAACTCCGATAGAAGACGCATCTTCCAAGTGAATTGTTGGAACAGAGTGTGAGCCATAGACTCTAGAAAAAGTGCAGAGAAGAGCAACCACGATGATTAGGGGACTGGAGGCTAAAACATATGATGAAAGGTTGCAGGAACTGGGCCTGGCTAGTCTAGGGAAGAGAAGGACCAGGGGAGACAGGAGAGCAGCCTTCCAGTATTTGAGGGGCTGCCCCAGAGAGGAGGAAGGGGGTCAAGCTATTTTCCAAGGCACCTGAAGGCCAGACAAGGAACCATGGATGGAAACGGAACAAGGAGAGATTCAACCTAGAAATAAGGAGGAATTTTCTGACAGTGAGAGCAGTCAACCCATGGTACAGAAGTTGCCTTGGGAGGTTGTGGGAGCTTCATCCCTGGAGGCTTTCAAGAAGTTTATTCTAGTCTAGTGAAGAGAAGGACCAGGGGAGATAGGAACCCCACAAGCCTTAAAGTCGCTAAGGTTGGAGACCCCAGGGCTAAGGGGCGCCCGGAACAGCCTGCGATACAACTTAGTCAGACCCCAGAATGTGACAAGTAAGACAGACAGATGAGCAGAATTGTAGGTCATCTAGTCCAACCCCGCACCCAAGTAGGAGACCCTAGCGTCCCTCTACGTTTCCTAAACAACTCAGCATCTGGCTCCTGTCTGGTTGTCTGAACGGCCGTCTCCATCTTCTCTTTCAGAGGGATTTAGGGCACCCGGGGCCGCCCTCCCCACTCCCCGCGCAGCCCACCCCTCCTCGAGGGAGCCTTGTGGGGCTGGCCTCCCCAGGGGTCTTCTCTCCCGCCGCCGTGCCCTTTGTCCCGGAAGGAGCCATTCGTTACCAGCCGGAGGGATCGAGTGGGGTCTCCTACGTCGGAGGGAACATGGCCAGCGGGACGCGGACGGATTCCCTGGGCGAAGCGTTCCACACTCGGCTGCAGCCGGACGGGTCACGTCGACGAGCTGAGGCGGAACCCCACGAAAAGGCTGCTGGGGGCAGACCAATCCCGCCTCTCTCCTTGGAGATCAGCAGAGTCCAGCCGGAGGGCTCGGGGCCCTCTGGGTACAACACCCCAACTTTACGGTCTCCGGTAGAGCTGCGGCCTTTGTCTCCTGGATCGGGCAGCTCCTCTTCGCTCTCCAACCTCTCCCCCTCCATGAAACTGAGCCAGTCCCCAAGCAGGGGGGCCCTTCCTGACCTCTGCGCCTTGGACCCCCTGACGTCTGGGATTCTGGCCACCATGGAACGGAAGGAGTCCCTCCCCAAGGCCGAATCCAGCGACCACATTTGCCTGAGCCGGCCAAGCTCGTCCCACCGGTTGGGCTCTCTTTCCAAAGCCATCTCCAGCGAGTACCTCTCGGGGGGCAGGGTGGGGCCTTCCAAATCTGCCATGCTCGCCAAGGCCGAGTCGGAGGAGCTGCCCACCTACTCCAGGGTCCGTCTATCGCCCCAGTTGCAAGACCCGTGGAGCAGCAGCAGCGCCAACCGCACGGAGAACTTCCTGGAAAGGTTCGGCCGGCCACAAACGAGGCAGGACAAGGAGTTTCGGTGAGGTGCAGCCGGGGAGGGGTTGGAGGGGTTGGTGGGTGAGTGGGCGGGTGGGGAGACGGACAGATGGTGGTACGACAAAAGCAGGCGAAAGAGCCTCACCAGAACACCAATTAAGAGATTTGCCAGGCAAAAATGCTGGTAGCTTAGTGATAATATTTGCACGATAAGAATGGAATGCACTTTCAGTTCCCAACGGCTGCACTGCGCTTTCAAATTTCTTCTCCCCTCCTTCTGTTCACTCTAAAACAAGCATAGAAGCGTTTTGTGAGTTGACACCTTCATTCACAGAGACGTAACTTTAGAGTAGCGTTTCTCAATCTCTAAGCCCGAGGATGGACTCCTTTGGCCCTTCCAGAAGGAAATTAAAACCTGGCTCTGATGGCTGGCTTAGGGCCCTGACGCTCTTTGCCGGATGTGATTGATGGGGTACAAGAGAAGAGCCCGCCAAAAACACCATGGCATCTATACTCTTGGCCTTAGTCTCTTTTAAGTTTCATCGTAATTTTCGGTTTTTATATTTATCTTTTGAGCCGTGGTGGTGCAGTGGTTAGAATGCAGCATTGCAGGCGCAGTGGTTATAATGCAGCACTGCTCACTGTCAGCAGTTTGATCCTGACCGGCTCAAGGTGGACTCAGCCTTCCATCCTTCCGAGGATCCAGATTGTTGGGGTTTGCAAGAGGCTGACTCTGTAAACCGCTTAGAGAGGGCTGGAAAGTACTAGGAAGTGATATATAAGTCTAAGTTCTATTGCCGTTATCGGTCTATAAGCCACCCAGAGCTGCTCCAACAGCGAGACAGGCGGCATATAAATTTAACCGATAAATAAAGTAAAATCAAGATGGGCATTCTGGGAATTGAAGTCCGTTCATCTTAAAGTTAACTAGAAACCTAGAGGGTGACATGATAGCAGTCTTCCAATATCTGAGGGGCTGCCCCAAAGAAGAGGGAGTCAAGCTATTCTCCAAAGCACCTGAGGGCAGGACAAGAAGCAATAAGGATGGAAACTAACCGAGGAGAGAAGCAACTTAGAACTAAGGAGGAATTTCTTGACAGTCAGAACAATTAACCAGCGGAACAGCTTGCCACCAGAAGTTGCGAATGCTCCAACACTGGAAGTTTTTAAAAAGATGTTGGATAACCATTTGTCTGAAATGGTTTAGGGTTTCCTGCCTAAGCAGGGGGTTGGACTAGAAGACCTCCAAGGTCCCTCCCAACTCTGTTATTCTGTTAAACCTTAAGAAGGGAGATGAATGGCAATTCTACAAGCAACTCAGAATGATGGAAAGGCTAAAGCATCTCCCAAAGGTGGGACCCTTCCCCAAATAGGCCAAGTAAGAGTGCCTGATAGAGACAAAGGGCTTGTCCAGATTGCCGGATTCAGATGGGCTGTATCTGGGCCAGCATTTATTTCCATCTTCTGGCCTAACCTCTTCCATTTTTTTTCCCTTTTTTTTTCCCCCTGAGCCTTTTCCATTTGAGCCTCGTCTTTGCGAGTCTGATGGATTGAACATGACATTACCCTCCCTCCTCCCTTACACTCACATTTTGTAAATATGTCTCTGAACACGTGTGCCTTTTGTAGCGTGGCCTGAAATGCCCCGTTTTTTTTTTAAAAATGTCAGTTTGCGTTCTCTCCAACCCCTAGAATAGGAGTAGAATTAGAATGATTAAAATTAGAATTAGAATAGAATAGAATTAGAACACTGAATGTTATATGGTATGGGACTTGTTTTACCAATGGATAGAAAATAGAATAAACTAAAAGGGATTAGATATATTCATAGAGCAATAAAAGAAATTAATGTAATAGGTATATTGGATTTCATTTATACTATATATATGGGAATGTGATTATTACTATGTTGTTAAATTGGATAAGAAGAATATTATTAATAATGGTTAAGTAATTGAAATATGTACCTAATTGACTCATGAATGAAATGGAATGGATTTATTGTATATAAAATAAAAAATTACAAAAAAGTATAGAATTAGAACAGGAATAGAGCAGAACAGAAATTAGAACAGAATAGAAATTAGAACAGAATAGAAATTAGAAACAGAGTAGAAATTAGAACAGAATAGAAATTAGAAACAGAATAGAAATTAGAACAGGACAGAATTCTTTATTGTCCAAGTGTGATTGGATACGCATGGAATTTGTCTCCAGTGCATAAGCTCATCTATAAACAGCAAATAATAGGTCATACTCATAGTTACAGTCATTTAAGTTACAAGCGACATTTGATCACCCATAAGATACCAATAGGACAAGATAGTAGGAAAGATGAGAAGATAGATAAGACGAGAAATGAGACAGTGGGGAAAATGAGAAGGGTCATTGCAATTCAGCCCTACTACACGGATAAAATATCCTTTAAGGGCTAAGACAGTGCAATGGGAATTAAATGTCCAGCAGAGTTTATGGCACGGAGGGAAAAGCTATGACTTTATGTCTGGTTGTTTTGGCATAGTGGCATCCTGAAATTGAAACAGTTTATGTCCTGGAGGTGAGGGGTCTGTAGATATTTTCTCGGCCCTCTTTCCGGTTCACGCCAGAAAACTGAAGTTTACAAAGTTGAGAAATACCTGTTTCAGGAGATCCCTGATGCCGGACTGCCAGCTTACCACCTGATGCCTTTTGCAAACCTACCTTACTGGTCTCTTTAAGCCTGCAGTCAGTCTCTTATTTCTGGATGCCAACTGGCTCCCTTCCTTGTGCGCAGTTTAATTAGGCTAATGCCCTGGGATTTGTCACCTCCATCTTAGGCCAAGGAGCTGCCAAGGTCTCCTTCCAGGAGTTTTTCTCAAGGGTGACTAATATCCTCTTGGCCAGCCAGTGTCCTCGAGAAGCGCCTGCCAAAAGCCGCCTCCTGCATTCTTGCAAGAGTGGTGACATCATTGTTGTAGAACATCCCTTGTGGGCTCACTGCATAGGTAGTCCTTGACTTAAAACACTTCATTTAGTGATTGTTCGAAGTTGCAACTGACTTGGAAAAAGGTGACTCGTCGTCTTCTTTTAACGACCCCATAATTCATCCCTTGCGGGGTGGAGTCTGGCCAACCGAATGGAGCCGAGTGTTTACTGGCCAGATGCCCTTCCCGTCACCAGGGCGGAGTTATATTCAACAGATATATATATATATTCTCAACGTGCCCAGAGAGAGAAATCTCTGCCTCTAGCTAGGATTGAATTCACAGCCTCCTGATTGTGAGGCCGTTTTGCACACTTACTGCTTACTGCTGCAGCATCTCCGTGACCCCGTGATCAAAATTCAGATGCTTGGCAACCGACTCATACTTACGACGGCTGCAGTTGTCCTGTTGGAGGAGGGGGGGGTGTCAAGCGTGATTCCCTTGACGACAGTGGCAAGAAAAGTCGTAAAATTCGATGAAACTCGCAGAAAATAATTCCTTTGATGATGTGAGGTCACTATTATCATTCAAGGGCAGAAGGAACAGTTGCTCCCTTTAGCTTGGAAAGCTCAGAAGCCACGTTCCCCGGACTATTTCTTGTCGGAGTTGATGCACACGGCTGACTTGATCTGGCAGAGAGCAGAACCATCACAAGCCCAAACAATTCTGGATTTTTCCGACCTCTTGCCAGAGAATTTGGCTGTCTACCCAAGCGCCGTTTTAACGAACCCTAAGGGGAAAAAAACCCTATATTTTGCATTCTGTTTTTTTTTCCTTCCCAGATTAAGATAGCTAGTGAGTGGCATGGTGGCCTAGAGGTTGGAGGTCTTGCCTCACAATCAGGAGGGCTGTGAGTTCAATCCTAGGTAGAGGCAGATATTTCTCTCTCTGGACGCACTGAACAAAACTCTGCCCTGGTGACAGGAAGGGCATCTGGCCAGGAAACACTCCGCTCCATTCATTTGCCCAAGACTCCACCCTGCAAGGCATTACGGGGGTCTTTAAAAGAAGAGGATGACTAGGATGGCCAGTGGTTCTTTTTAAGGGGCCAAGATGTGCCGTGCCTCCATAGAATACAGAATGACGGAGTTGGGAGGGACCTTGAAGGTCATCTAATCCAACCCCCTGCTCAAGCAAGCAGACCCTTCCTCACCTCCCCTTCACCTGCTGGCCAGTTCCTGCCGCAGAGTCTCCTGCCTCTGTCGGTTGATCCCACAAGTGGCTAGAGATCCTTTGCATAACTCCAGCCTGCCTCACATCCCCCATGGAAGACTTCAGGGTGGAGAAGGAAACAGACCCAGTCAAGCTTACTTCCTGCTGCTTGTTGCAAGTCTTCTTGACTTGCTGTTCAAGATGCCGATGTGGGTAGTTGCTGGAAGCCAGATAACATTGCCTGGCGTTCACGCCCCCAATTGCCCCACTTCCATTTATAAATAGCGCTCCTGACATTCATATTTCCAAACCCCCATTAATGCCGGCAAGGAGAGCGAGCGCCGCTTTTCCCCCAGGAGCTGTTTTCACAGGCGATATTTTTACTGCTGTCAAGTTTTGTTTCTTTAGCAAGGAACGAGAGTGGACGCATCCCGAGAGGGTTTTAAGGCACTAAAAGACCTAGTGGGTGCCTTCCTACGTTCCTGCTGTGATGCAGAATTTGGGGGAAAGGGGGAAGGTGTGGTCGTTCCGGCACCCTAGACTCCCGATTAGCCAACCACAGTTTAGTCAAGGGTGTTACGCCACGCTGGCCTTGAAACATCTGGATAAAGGTAAAGGTTCCCCTTGCACATCCGTGCTAGTCGTTTCTGGCTCTAGGGGGCGATGCTCAACTCCGTTGCAAAACTGAAGAGCCAGTGCTGTCCGAAGACGTCTCCGTAGTCATGTGGCTAGCATGAGTAAACACTGAAGGCGCACGGAACACTGTTCCCTTCCCACCAAAGGGGTCCCTATTTTTCTACTTGCATTTTTTACGTGCTGTCGAACTGCCAGGTTGGCAGAAGCTGGGACAAGCAACGGGAGCTCACTCCGTGACGCGGCGCTGGGGATTCGAACCGCCGAACTGCCGACCTTTTCTGATCGACACTCTCAGTGTCTTAGCTGCTGCCTTCCTATATTATTAAGGCGTTCCAGGGCTGTATGATCCCTTGGGAAGTTGGGACCCACAATCCAGAAGAAGTCAACAACAAATGACTTCGGTCTGAAAGGCCTGTCTTAGAAGAACAGAGTTGGAAGAGAATTTGTGCGTTTTCCCTTCACCCGCTTGTACGTTGCTGCAGTGGGACGGTGCAATGGAAGGGCAAGACCTCTTGGTAGAACTTCACCAAACGGCTCTTCCCAAGGACTCTAGAAGGGGCCGCTTCCTCCAAGAAGAAGGGCCTCAGCCTCCGGAATTGACAGCTCATCGTAGCCAATTGGCCAGAGTCAACTCAACATGGCCAACTTGCCGCCGGCCACGGGACAACTCGCTGTGGGACAAATGCAAGAATTCAATTTAATTATTTAAAATGATTTTTAAAAATGTTTTATTTATTTTTTTGTCCTTCCCGTTTCATTCTGTCCCTCCTTTGTCATCCTTTCTTTAACGATTCTATCCCACCATTTCTTCAATATGAGTGTAACTCTTTCGTCTCGCAGAGAGTTGGCCACGGCGCGTTTAAGAGAATAACAGGAGAGTTGGAAGGGACCTTGGAGGTCATCCAGTCCAACCCCCTGCTCAAGCAGGAGACCCTATATAACATTTTAAAATAACAGGAGTTGGAAGGGACCTTAGAAGTCATCCAGTCTAACCGCCCTGCCCAAGCGGGAGAGCAGGATGTTGGCTGTTGTAGATTGCCGAAGATCCCACACCAGGTCTGACAAATGTTGGGGTAACGTTGTTTTTCCCCCCTTTCTCCACAGCATCACAGTGGTCACGTGGAACGTCGGCACCTCCATGCCACCCAGCGACGTCACCTCCCTCCTGCACCTCAACCCTGGAGACTCTTCTGACAGTGACATGATCGCTATTGGGTAAGGCGGCGGGAAGGCAGGCTTCCTGGGACACTGGCGGGTCCTTTCATGAGCAGGAAACAACCAAGAGAGCGAACCCCAGAATCGGGGGCCCCAAGCTGCCCACTGAATCACTGCAGTCACTAAGTTAATAACCCGGTTGTTAAGTGAATCCGGCTTCCCCTGTTGACTTGGCAAAGATCACAACTAAGAACCGGTTGCCAAGCATTTGAATTTTTGATCACCTGATTCAGGCGATGCAAAGGTCGTAACTCTGAAAAATGGACATACGTCACTTTTTTCAGTGCTGTTGTAACTTTGAACGGTCACTAAACGAACTCTTGTTAAGTCGAGGAGTAGCAGGACGGCTGTTCTATCCTAAGCTTCCCCCAAAAGCACTAAGCCAACTCTTGAGTCCCGGCAAAACCTCTTTTATTCAACAAATGTGAATTTATTGCATTCACATTCAGCCAACGGCCTGGCAAACAGTCTTGCAAAGGTGTAATTATTAGCTCAGACCTTATCCGTCTTGGAAAGCTGCCCGGTTAATACTTTGGGCAGCAGAGTTAAATAATTCACAATATATAGGGTTGCAAGCGTTGTCAGGCAGTATCTCTGGGGAAGACCTTGGGGGAAGCCTCTGGGTGGGGAGGGCCCGGAAGGAAAGCTGATGATTTTGCACACTTAATTCTGCAGGTTGCAGGAGGTGAATTCCATGATCAACAAACGCCTGAAAGATGCGCTCTTCACCGACCAGTGGAGTGAACTTTTCATGGAGGTGCTGAGCCCCTTTAATTTCGTCCTGGTAAGCCAGAGTCCAGTCCCCCCCCTCCAATCCTCCCGGCTTTGCGGACTGGCGGGGTGGGAGGGGGAGCGTGCACAGCTGCATTTGCACAAGCGGCGGGCATGCTCGCCCACCGTTCGTGCCGATGGGGCGCATGCACGTGCTCGTGTGTTGCTCACGCAAGTGGGGATGTGCACACACCTGTGCTTGCTTTCCACTTCCACGGTCCAGTTCCGAATGGCTCAAGGGCCAGGAATGGGCCGCAAGCCCAGGGGGTTGGGGAATCCCCCAGGGGTGGGATTCAATTTTTTTTTACAACCGGTTCTGTGGGCGTGGCTTAGTTGGTGGGCGTGGCTTGATGGTCATGTGACTGGCTGGGTGTGGCCAACTCAACATCACTCACATCGAGGCACGCATCTCCTCGCCTAGCCTCTCGTGACTGTGGGGATGCTGCAACAGTCGTAAGTGTGAAAAGTGGTCATAAGTCACTTTTTTCAGTGCCATTGTAACTTTGAATGGTCACTCCACACAAGCAAAGTACCAGCAAAGGAGGGGGAAAAAACTCCAGAGAAGTTCCTGAGACAGGAAGTCTAGTCCTGTCAAGAATGTAATAAGGGTTAACGGAGAGGCAGTTTCTGTAAGCAACACCAGAATGTTTCCTTCCTGCCTTCCTTACAGGATTGGCCCAGTAATTTCTTCTAACAACCGGTTCTCCGAACTGCTTAGAATGTTAACAACCGGTTCTAGCGGATAGGGACGAACTGATAGAATCCCACCCCTGGACTCCCCGTTGTAAGCTTCGAGGTGTGAAGTCTGGCTATAACTTAAGACCATGATGTGCCAAAGATGAACTTAAGCAGAGGCTTTAAAGAACAAAATCCAACTTTAATTGATCAATATGGTTAGGGTAAGATCTATCCTCACATGCACACAAGATAGAGATGAGAGGAAGGCTACAAAGCATATGGAGAAATTAAAGTCTTCGTACACCTTTAAGATCCTTAGAAGTTGAGTAACTGCATTGTAAAACTCTCTAACTTAGATTTACATCTTTCCTTCAAAAGACAAATTGTCTTTCCGGCAATATTTAGCTTTCATTATCTCTTCTCCTATTGTCCTACTAACTGATCACAATTGACCACTTAAGGAGGCTATTAACAGCATACTTCAAAGGTGTGGATTCCTCCCGATGGAGGTAGCTACATTCCCAGAGAGTTACCTTCCCAGGCAGGGGTGATGCTAAGGGTGGAATATATCAGATGGATTCAGATTGATTTAGATGGGAGAATCGTGTGTCTTCATAGGAGAGGGATGTAAATGACTGCAGGCATAATTGTTTTACAACAAGTGGAAGGTGAAGGAAACCTTTTCTACAACAGCAAGATAAGGAATGCCTATAGAGTGATAAATGCTTCACAGAAATACTTCTACACATACAAGAAAACACATGCCCTACAGCAAGATAGCAAATGCCTATAGAGTAACTCTCTACTTCATGCTACAATATATTCTACTACATTTCTTTATTCATTACCCTTCAGAGGAAAATCCAAAAGGGATTTTTTTGCAGGAGTGGTTGACAAAACAAGGCTGTTGGGCAGCTTTAAATCCCTTCGGCATGCATATAGGGCCAACATCTAGATTATTTTGGCATTTGTGAGCGGGGGAGAATTTCAGGGAGTGATTTCCCCCCCCCTTCCTTTCACCCCCAGGTCAGATCCCTGTATCTGGTCTGAGCAGCTTGAAGGGCAAAGGGAGTAGAAGGCTTAAGGCATTTAATTTCTCCTGTAACCCTCCTCCCGCACGTCACGACCCAGCCACATGACGCTGAATGCCTGCCAGATTAGCCGACTCCTCCCCAGCCATGAAAATGAATGAAACTCAAGAAGGATCTGTGGATTCAGCTCACGTGGCCGAAGCAGGAGGCACCAGCACTTCGAAGCAAGCCTCTGAAACACAGAGTTTTCTTATCTTTATATAGCTATATCATTTATATCTCTTATCTATCTATCCATCCATCCATCCATCTATGTTGGCCCATTCTTTCCCCTAAGTTTCCATTTCCCCAAAGATCGTCTGCGGTGTTGCACCATCGTTCTCCCATAATGGTGTATTTTTGTAAGCTATTTTCCTTAAATGTATTTTTGTGATTTTTCCTCCTTTTTTATTCGTCAGCCACAATCCAGAAAAGGGACAGATTTTGCACGTTGGTAGCATTTCACACCAAAGCGACGTGTGAATCGGAAAAGGCTCTAATTAAAATCAAAGAGAATGAATTTTCCCCGCAACCCCTGATTCCGACTGCCAACGCTTCCATTTGTCGAATGTATTTAAGTGGGGGGCGGGGGGAGAGAGGCTTCTACCTTTTATTTATTTATTTATTTATTTGCTTTAATTAAAAAATATAAATAGTTTGGCGGGGAAGCATGATCGCTCAGTACACCAGCTGCTGCTTCTCCAAAGCTGTGCAGGTTTTTTTTTTTCTCTCCAAAGGACGTTTTTTGCAAATAGAAGCAGATCCTTCTTCTGATCTGTTCCGGAGCACAAGTTCCTGAGCATGTACAGAAGTCACTGCCCTTATAAAGTAGAGCAGATCCATCCCGGCTCAATTACCAGTCAGAAGGACAGGTAATCCTCAACTTCTGACCACAACGGAGGTGACTTAAGTGAGACATTCGTTAAGTCAGTTTCGTCCCCATTTTACGACCTTTCTGGCATCAGTCGTTAAGCGAAATCGCTCCAGTTGTTAAGGGAGTAACCCAGTTGTTAAGTGAATCCGGCTTTCCCCCTGGACTTTGCTTGTGGGAAGGTTGCTGAAGGGAATCATAAGAAGCCGGGACCCGTCATAGATTAGAGGCAGTTGCCAACGGTCTGGATTTTGCTCACGTGGCCGAAGGGATGCTGCAACGGTCATTAAGTGTGACAAATGGTCATAAGTCACAATTTTCAGTCCCCTTGCCCCTGGTCAAGTGAATCTCACGGCCATGCCCAAAGTGGAATGCATGTGCATGCATGTGCATACATGTACGTGTGCCAGAGCACCAGAAACCTGAAGACCAGCTGACTTGTGCGTGCATGGATGTTCTTTGGCCATTTTGGGGGGTGTTTTTGGCCTGGAAATGGCCAGGAAAGTGGCCCAGACAACAGCCTGGAAAACCGCTGGAAAACAGTCTAAAAAACAGCCAGAAAACAACCTGAAAAATGGCCCAGAAAACAGCCCGGAAAACAGCTGGAAAACAGTCTTAAAAACGGCCAGAAAACAACCTGAAAAATGGCCCAGAAAACAGCTTGGAAAACAGCTAGAAAACAGTCCAAAAAATGGCCAAAAAAACAACCTGAAAAATGGCCCAGAAAACAACCTGGAAAACAGTCTAAAAAACAGATTCTGGAGGTGCAGAATTAAGAACTCAGTGCCTTCCTTTCTCTTGACTACCTTTTTGCTGTTTCAGGTGAGCACGGTACGGATGCAAGGAGTCATCCTCTTTGTCTTTGCCAAGTACTACCACCTGCCTTTCCTGCAGGACATCCAGACCGACTGCACCCGGACGGGCCTCGGGGGTTACTGGGTATGTGAGTTTTGCCCCCAAGCCTGCCTGTCGTGGCGGGATTCATATTTGGGACTAAGCTGGAGGAATCCGGCAGGAGCAATTGAGCAATCAGGATAGAGTGGAAGGGAGGTCTTCTAGTCGGACCCTCTGCTCAACCTGGCCGATCCCATTTCAGACAGATGGTTTCTTAAAAACCTCCAGTGATGGAGCACCCACAACTTCCGAAGGCAACTTCTGTTCCACTGGTTAATTGTCCTCACTGTTAGTATAGGGTATAGGTACTATACACCCTATACTAACTACCTATATACTATATGGTATAGGGTTTCCTGCCTGAGCAGGGGGTTGGACTAGAAGACCTCCAAGATCCCTTCCATCTCTGTTTCTCCTGGTATTCTTTATTCTATTCTATTCTTTCATATTTCTATTCTTTCATATTTCTATTCTTTCATATTTCTATTCTATCATATTTCTATTCTGATTTCATTCTATTCTATTCTATTCTATTCTATTCTATTCTATTCTATTCTATTCTTTCATATTTCTATTCTATTTCATATTCTATTTCATATTTCTATTCTATTTTATCATCATTCTATTCTGATTTCATTCTATTCTGTTCTGTTCTGTTCTGTTCTTTCATATTTCTATTCTATTCTATTCTGTCCCGTTTTGTTCCCTTCTATTTTCTCTGCCCCCCCCCCCCATCTCATGGCTTCTCTCCCTGCCTTCCTCCAGGGCAACAAGGGAGGCGTGAGCGTCCGGCTCTCCATCTTCGGGCACATGGTTTGCTTCTTGAACTGCCACTTGCCGGCACACATGGAGAAGGCGGAGCAGCGGAAGGAGGACTTCACCACAATCCTCCATCTGCAGCAGTTCGAGGGGCCCTCGGCCAACGGCATTCTTGACCACGAGTGAGTACCAGGCCCTTGGGTCCTTCCAGGCTGGGCAAGAAGCCTTGTCCATTCAGAAGGTCCATTTTGAGGCCCGCCCAAAACAGGTTGAACCCAGTCTTTAGAAACAGCAGCTCAATTATAACTTACAATTATCACTAGCAGAAGTGGCATTCAGCCGGTTCGGAACGGTTCTCAAGAACTGGTTGCAAAAATTTTGAGTAGTTCGGAGAACCTGAAAATACTGCCTCTGACTGGCCCCGTCCCCATCTCTTCTCTGCCTCCCGTTGAGTCCCAGTGATTGGCTGGGTCTCTTTTGGTTGCGCTGCCCAGGAGAATGGAGCTGGAAAGCAGGTTAGTGGGGCCGGGAGGGAAGGGGGATTTTGCAGTATCCTTCCCCTGCCATGCCCGCCAAGCCACGTCCACCATGCCACGCCCACAGAACCGGTAATAAAAAAAATTGAATCCCACCATTGATTACTAGGTATCTCAAAAAGTTGAAGAGGAGAGTATGGCAGTGACAAAGATGATGACTGGAGCATTTTGAGCCTCTATGGCAGAGTGGTTAATTATTTCATTTTTCTTTAAATATTCTCATGCCTTATTTTACAATTTTATCTAAATTCTTGTTTAATTTCCATATTCATTACACATCACATTTGCAAGTTTATCACATACTATTATTCCATTCATTGTTCAATATGATTCATCCTAATTCTGATTATCCAAAAATTATCCCCTTTCATTGTCAATTCGAGCTTGCCACCCCTTTCCTTTATACATTCACCCATTTTATTCCCATTAATTCATTGTGAAAGTTTACCATAATATAGTCCTTTTAAATTACCACATTCCACATTAATAACAATAATTCTTTAACTACTAAGTATCACTTACACATTTTTGTGTGTGTGTGTGTGTGTGTGTTTTAAGTCAGATTCCACATGGTATTCCCTTTTCTCAATTACATTCTAAGTCATATATTTATTTCAAAGATATTGATTTCTTCGGTTAATTTTGGGAACTGATAATAGTCTTTCCATTGCAATTTTGTTCTATTTTACTTTATTAATTTATTTGATTCTTTTTGTTAGTTTTTATTGTTTTTATTTAAATATGGTTTTACATTGTGTAAGCCGCCTTGAGTCGCCATGGGAGAATAGGCGGCAATATATATTAAATAAATAAATCAAATAAATAAATCAAATTGACCAGGAAGCTTCTTAACGGGAAGGCGATGGGCATGCATCCTCCCTGGTATGGGGTTCTGGCTTTGGCTTCCTTTGTGTTTTCTACAACTTCAGGGTTGGCACATGCCAGACAAGTCAATTTCTGAAGAGCTAGAGAAGGCCCTTGGTGGCTATATATAGTAATTCCACTTTATTTTGCTATCCAGAGTTGTGGACGTGAGAGGATTAGGGCCAGAAGAATTCCAACGTCTGAATTAATTTTCTTTCAGAAGCAATAGATCCTCGGGTACAAAAGATTGTTATCCCCGGGTGGAAAGATTCTGGATTCTCTTTCTAACAGGAGAGGAATGAGGTGGCTTTACAAATCAAAAAGGAAGATCCCGTATCTAAGAGCCTCCTGGATTTTTATTGTTAAAAAGGTTCCCCACTCCTTCCTTCTCCTTGTCTCCCTTCCAGCCTCATCTTCTGGTTTGGGGATCTCAACTTCCGCATCGAGACCCTGGACATCCGCTACGTGAAATACGCCATCGACAACAACATCCTCCATCAGCTCTGGGAGAAGGACCAGGTGAGACATACCTGTGCGTGCAGAGTGTGAGTGCAGGAGTGAGGAAATGGGAAAGTAGCAGCCTGAAGCCTTCTCTTGGTGAGGTCAATCAATCAGAATAGAACTGGAAGGGACCTTGGAGGTCTTCTAGTCTAACCCCCTGCATAAGCAGCAAACCTATACCATTTCAAATGGTTGTCCAATCTCTTCTTGAAAACCTCCAGTGATGAAGCACCTACAACTTCTGAAGGCAAAGCTGTTCCACTGGTTAATTGTTCTAACTGCCAAGAAATGTCTCCTTAATTCCAGGTTGCTTCTCTCCTTGATTAGTTTCCACCCATTGTTTCTTGTCTTGCCTTCTGGTGCTTTGGGAACTAAGTTGACTGGTAAGACTGCTACAATGTCCCCCTAATCCTTCTTTTCTCTAGACCGGCCATCCCCAATTCCTGCCACCGTTCTTTATATGTTTTAGCCTCCAGGCCCTTAAATCGTCTTAGTTGCTCATCTCCACTTTTTCCAAAGTCTCAACATCTTTTTTGGTAATGTGGTGACCAAAACTGTATGCAGCAATCCAGGTGGGGCCTTACTAAAGCTTTGTAAAGCCATACTAATCCTTCACATGATTTTGATTCTATGCCTCTGTTTACACCACCAAGGATTATATTAGCTTTTTTGGCTGCCGCCACACACCACTAGCTTATATTTAACCCTTTAGTTTAGTTTACTTTACTGTCATTGCACCTCGTACAATGAAATTAAATGCCTTCTTCAGTGTATACTATAACTATAAAAAATAAAACACAAGCACCCATCCTTTGCATTCTATGCCATTGAATTGAAAACCCCTGATATTGCATTAATATTGCACTATACAGTAGAATTCAACAGAGTTGCTGCCCTGGGATAGAAGCTGTTTTTCAGCCTATTTGTCCTGGTTTTTATTATTATCCTGTACCATCTGCCAGATGGTAGTAGTTAAAAAAAAAGGGGGGGGGTGCCCAGGATGAGATGGATCTTTGAGGATGTTTTGAACTTTCTTAAGGCAGCGGGAGCTATAAAGCTCTTCCAAAGAGGGGAGAGGGCAACCAGTGATCTTCTGGGCAATGATTAAATGAGTTTTGAAGCCCATAATAATTTTGACAGGGATGTTTCTGGGTAATAATGTTGCTCTTGAACACGCTTGCCTGGTGGAGTGGGCCATGTGGTTGACTGCACCTGGGAGGACAGGAGTAATGCATGACCATGGTGAAGTGGAAGGTGTGGGAGAAAGAGAGAAGGAACCCCAATCTCCCAGCTTTGTCCTCCTGGCTTCTCTCGTTCTGCAGCTTAACATTGCGAAAACTACGTGGCCCATCCTGAAAGGATTCCAAGAGGGGTTCCTCAATTTCCCCCCGACCTTTAAATTTGACGTGGGAACTAACATGTATGACACCAGGTATGGAGGACAGTTGGCGGGTTGGGGATCAGTAGTTGGACTGAGCCAAGACATTGATTGATTGATTGATTGATTGGCGTATGACCACAAGGGAGCCCAAAACCTCTGTGGTTGAATGAGACATTTGTTCAGTGAGTTTTGTCCCCGTTTTATGAACTTTTCAGACTGGGGGGGTGGGGAGAAACCACAAAACAGACCAAGTCATAGAAAAGGAAAAACAGCTAAACTGCTCTGGAATTTCAGAATTCAAACAGATAAGCACATTTATTAACATTGCTACATGAGCACCTCTATAAGGGTGTCCTTGTCTACCTGGGTGACATTCTCATCTACACTGAGACCATGGACAATCACATACCCCTAGTCCACTGGGTACTGGAAAAATGTTTAGCAGCAAACCTGCCACACAACACCCCAGATTTCATAGCTGTTGAAAAGAAAGACAAAAATATCTGGATAGTGCAGGAAAGGCAGGACCTGGACCAGGTCAGAAGAGATGAGAGGAAAAAAACTGGAGAAAATCACCACGTACAAAGACCTGCGAATAGAAGTAGAATGACTGTGGCAAATGAAAGCGAAGTCGGTAACCATTGTAGTAGGGTCTTTGGGTCCAATCCTAAAATATCATTGACATTGTCAAAAATCCCCACCCGTCAATTGCAAAAGGCAGCTTGGCTTATAACGGCTGACATCCTGCGATGAGACCTTGAACCCCATCAAACTTCCACATCTGTTTACCCAGTTCCTGGGGAAGGTCTCAACAGCTGGACAGAGATGCCAGGTCCAGATTGAACATCTGGCTGTGTGATCAACCATAATCATAATTTACAACAGGGGTCCCCACCCCCCCACCCCCATTTTGTGGAGTGGCACTGGGCCACGGCATGCCAGAAACAAGGCCACACAAACAAGGGGAAACTCCATCCATGGGATGCAGGCAACACACAAAATCATGCCCCCCCCCCCAGGCCATGGAAAAACATCACCCCATGGGACCGGTCCCTGGTGCCCCAAAGGTTAGGAGCCACTGATTTACAGAATATACACTGTGTATTTTATGCCAGCCTCCACTTAGGTCCTCATTTCATGTCTTTTGTGTTGTGACCCCAGTGCTAAAAAGAGGAAACCAGCTTGGACGGACCGTATCCTATGGAAGATCAAAGGTGGGGCCCACCCAGTGCATTCTGGGAGATCCAGCAGTGGGAACCTGACTGTGACCCAGCTCTGCTATTGCAGCCATATGGAGTACACTATGAGCGACCACAAACCCGTGGCCTCCATTTTTGCAGTACAGGTGAGTGCATAGCAGTGGTGGGATTCAATTTTTTTTTTTTTACTACCGATTCTGTGGGCGTGGCTTGGTGGGCGTGGTGTGCCTTGGGCATGGCAGGGGAAGGATACTGCAAAATCCCCATTCCCTCCCCACCCCACTAGCCTGCTTTCCAGCTCCGTTCTCCTGTGCAGGGCAACCAAAGAAGACCCAGCCGATCAGCTGGGACTCAATGGGAGGTGGAGAAGAGATGGGGGCGGGGCCAGTCAGAGGTGGGATTGGCTGGTTCTCCAAACTACTCAAAATGTCCACTACCAGTTCTCCAGAACTGGTCAGAACCTGCTAAATACCACCTCTGGTACACAGCCCTATTGATACACACACACACACACACACCTGAGCCTGTGGATAGCTGTTGTTGTGCCACTGACAGCATTAACCTTTTTTTAGGAAAAAACCTGCTCTTGCCATGTTCCTACTGTAACCTTCAGTTACAATTGCCACCTGCTAGTCTTGTCTGCTCAGAAACACTATTAAATGAACTGTTGTAAGTTCCTGGAGAAAAAAGGATGAAGGAGAGCAAGCTACAAAATGCGCTTCTTCTATTTCCTTCCTGCTTTTTGCTTAGCCACTGATTTCTTGCAAAGCATTTCCTGTGGGAATTGGGTTTGGCTAGTCTAGAGAAAAAGAAGGACTGGGGAGGAACATGAATAGCAGTTTTCCAGGATTTGAGGGGCTGCCACAAAGAAGAGAGGATCAGCCTAATTCTACAAAGCACCAAAAGGCACAACAAAAAAACAATGAATGGAAACTGATCGAAGAGAGAAGCCACCTAGAACTAAGTTTTGATAAATTAGTAACCCAGTTGGTAAGTGAGTCTGGCGATGAATAATGACCAATGATGATCCTAACTCTTCTGGCAGTTTGGTTCCCGAGCTGATGTGCCACTGGTGGAACTCCAAGTGGCCGACGAGTGGACCAAGCCGGAGCAAGCTGTGGTCCACTACAGAACTTCTTCGGCTTTCCACCGCAGTTCCTGGGATTGGATCGCAATCTATCGGGTGAGAAGGGTTGGCCGGGCGAGAGGATTGGCATCCTAAAAGGCAGCGTGAACTCTTCCCAGTGGTGGGCAGATAAGTGGAATGATCTGGGTGTCTCAGCAGCCACAGGAGGGTACCGTGGAAACCTCTCGTGATGTATTTATTTATTTGATTTGATTTGTCAATCGCTTACAAGATGGTAGGTGTAAGAATAAACAGGAGTATGAAAACAGGAAATAGGTACGGATAAATGGGGACAATGGGACAGGGACGGTAGGCATGATGGTGCACTTATGCACGCCCCCTTACAGACCTCTTAGCAATGGGGTGAGGTCAATAGCGGATAGTTTGAGGTTAAAGGAGTTAGAGGGGGGTTAGAGGATGTAACAACAGAGTCAGGCAGTGCTTTCCAGGCATTGACCACTCTGTTGCTGAAGTCGTACTTTCTGCAATCAAGTTTGGAGCAATTTACATTGAGTTTGTATCTGTTGTGTGCTCTTGTATTTTTGCAGTTGAAGCGGAAGTAGTCATTGACTGGTAGGACATTGTAGTGGATAATTTTGTGCACTACGCTTAAGTCTAACTGTAGGCGGCTTAGTTCAAGGTTGTCCAAGCCCAAAATCTCAAGCCTGGTGGTGTAGGGTATTCTGTTGCAAGCAGAGGAGTGTAACTACTCTTCTCATGAAATACTTCTGGACTCACTCAATTGTATTAATGACCAATATACAGTACAGATTCCAGACAGATGAGCTGTATTCGAGTATTGGTCTATTTCTGCCCTTGTAGGTGGGTTTCCGGCATTGCAAGGACTACATAGCCTATGTATGGGCCAAGCAGGAAGATGCAGAGAGCCACCTCTACCAGGTAAGGCTATGGGAGCAAACGGAGGTAGGTTAAAAGGTTTAGTCTCAGGAAAAGGCAACATCCAAGGCAGGGGGGGATTCAAAATTTTTAATGACCGGTTCTGTGATCGTGGCTTAGTTGGTGGGCATCATTTTGTTTCTGTCCAACCTCACAGAGTTGGCGTTTTGAAAACAAATGTCCAGAGAGAAAATGGGATAGGAATTAACAAAATAATGGGAAAATAATAATAATAATAATAATAATAATAATAATAATAATAATAATAATAATAATAATAATAATAATTAATATAATATAATATAATATAATAATATAATATAATAATAT